ATCAAGCGAAGGAGAGAAAGCTGAGAAGAGAACCTTCGTCAGCAACGAGCGCGATCACGTACGCAGTCGGACGAGCCAGCCAGCCAGCCAGCTAGCCAGCGAGCCAACCAGCCAGACCAGACAGCAAGCATCAAGGCAGGTGAATGCCAGCAAGTGGCGAAACAAAGTTTATTTTGAATCAGCCACGGCAACCGAGTCGCACTATTCGCCGGCGAATAGCGCTACGAGTACCGCCGCAGTAGAGCCGTGCGCGGCTTCGGCAACGGCGGGGTATTCTGCCGCAGCTCGGTTCTCAACATCGACTCAACGTAGAGACAAGCAGATAGACAGACGGACCGACAGACCGGCAGACAGACATATAGGTAGAAGCGGAGCTTACGACCCAGGGCAAACAGTGAAGAGAAGCGAAACGATGGACGAGAACGCGCGCTCGCGCGCGCGGGGCTTGACGGCGGAACGAGGAGGATGGCGTTAAAGCAGGCGATGGTGATTGTTACGGCGACGACGTTTCAGTTAGCTGAAACGTCGTTTCCTTTGTCGCGTTTGTGTGAGGAAGGAACTGTCCTCGATGGGGTGTACAGACGCGCACCCCCACACGACCAAGCTCCAACCGCACACCGCATGCCACATACACTCCCGCACACAACCGCGCACGCACGTGAGCACGAACGCGGCCGCGCGGCTACGAGCAGTGTACCTGTATATGTGTGTATATACACATTCAGATACAGACACAAGCACGTAACGCGTTTCGACGGTACACCCTATCTTGCGGAGGGTTGTTCGGAGGGTGTACCTGCGCGACGGTATTCCTCGTGCAAACTTGGAGCTTGCACGGCTAGCATCGCTAGCTCCTTCTAAGACTTCGCCGGAGTCGGTCTCTGTATAGAGAGAGGCAGAGATAGAAAGAGAGAGAGAGAGAGAGAGAGAGAGAGAGAGAACGAGAGAGAGAGAGAGAGAGAGAGAGAGAGAGAGAGAGAGAGAGAGAGAGAGAGAGAGAGAGAGAGAGAGAGAGAGAGAGAGAGAGGAGAGAACGAGAGAGCGGGAGAACCCAGCGTAGAGAGATCTCGATTCGGGTTAATTGTGGGCTTCGTCTATAGACCCGGTGCTCTCGGGCAATGAATTTTAGGAGTCGCGCGCGCGGTATCGCGCGCTGCTGAGACGCGAGGAGGCGAGGGAGGATGGGCGCATGCACTGCCAGGCGGATATATTTATGCGCGCTCGTGGAAATTCTTCGATCTGATTACGAGCGAAGAAACTACCGGGGGGAATGAAAATGTCTGCATTAGCGAGCTACTGTTTTCAGCGTGTGGGAAAGAAGAGCACGGCCAGTTGTACTCGCGCTGAAGTTGTGCGTGTCGCGCTTGATAAGAGCGAGCGAATTTACAATTGGAGGCGCGATATACCGATGGTAACGACGGCTTAAGGATCTTGCGAATGAAGGAGCTCGCGAAAATCGAAACGAAATCCGACGAAGATCGCGCTTTACGATCTCTCCTCGATATCAAGTCGCCGCGAATTAAATGAAACTGAACATCGTGAATTTCGGAATTTCGGTGTGAACGAATGAGTTTAATTTAATCTCAAAGGAGTTATAAAATCCCCAAAAGCGCCGGCGAACCAACCTCTAGCGCGGGATTCGATTTGATCTCTCAACTCGCTATTTATAAAAACCGGTTCTACAAATGTTAACTCTGTAGAGAGTCGCTTAATTTGCGCGAACACGGTTTTTGCAGATGAAGATTTTGCGAGTGCTACGTAACTACATTCATTCACACAAAGTGTGGCTCGCGATGCCATGTTCGTGTTTCCATGCTTTGAATCTATGAAGTGAAAAAAAGAGATCGTCGGAGATCTGCGCAAACAAAATTTCAACAGCATGCGGGAAATTATCGGAAAATAAACCGTTGTTTGTGTCAGTGGAGCGCAGGGATGATTAACGTCAGTGAAAGAAACAAACTAGAGACAATCGTTCATGCAATAGTTTATTATGCCTCGTAAAAGTAAGTATTTACAATAAGGAAAAAAGTAGTATAATGCCCAAAAACAATAATACGACAGCTCGTAGCGGACCTTAAAACTAAAGAAACTTAAGTAGAATTCATGAGAGTCCGACTTAATGTGAAATATATATTTCTATATTTTTATCTTTCTCTCTCTCTATATCGTATCTCTAAAAGAGTAAGTTGCATTACATCCGATTGCGACAAGTTTGATTTCATCTCGGAGAGGTTATCGTAACTTCTTTGGAGACCCCGATAAACTATCAGTAACAAAAACCTAACGAGCCTTTATCGCAGCTACCCACTTATAAAAACGAACTTTGACTAAGGTGCGCAAAGGTTAACCGTTCGCAGGGGAATTACCCCGTCGCCGCCACATTTCATCCCTGAAACTAAAACTTTCACGAAATTACACGGTGATATAATTCACGCACTCGTTCGCACAGTAAAATTTCTCTCCTCATTTCGTTTGGGTAAATTAAGAGAAAAAAAAAGAGAAAAAAAAACGTTACTTCATCGATCTATAAGTAATAAATCAAATATTGATAACGAGGCCGTAAAAACCTTACGTATAATAATTCTGCGCTTCTATCCTTAAAACTTAACTTTCACGGTCACCGTCATAAATTAACAATCCTACGACTTTCGGAGAGCGCATTTTTCGTCCGAGACTATCGAGACCGTTCGATCTTTCGCTTTCGTACGTCGCGCGAATCATCGGCACGATTTGACGCGACGAATCCGTTCGCGCGAGAAATGTGAGACGACGGCGGTTCGAGCGTGTACCGTAGTTTTCGCAAGACTTCACCGTGCTGTTTCACGTGTACGTTACGGGCGTTACTTCGCCAAGATTCGCAAACGGCCGTGAGCGTGCCAAATGCCATACGCGCGCGCGCGCGCGCATATATGTGTGTGTGTGTGTGTACACGTGCGCGTGTGTGGAGAACGTAAGAAGGGTGGTACGTCTTGCACGCGCGCGCGAGGATGAAGGAAGGTAAAAGGGACAATACGGGCGATTCCTGTGTGTGCTCAGGATGAGGGAACAAGCTGCGCGTATATAACCGGCTTATAGACGCGCGGAATCGTCCGCAAGCTTTATCGTCCGTTTAATAAAGAGGCAGGCGGACGGGAGAAGAATGAAAAACGCAACGCTCGTGTCGCCTTTTCCCAACGGCGCGCGTCGGTTTTCTCCTCAATCTCCTTCGATAAATCGATCTCGAAACGGGCCCTTCTCCAAATTATACGGCCGACGACGCCGTATGCCTGCAGAGAGAGAAAAATATAGAGAAAGAGAGAGAAGAAGAGAGAGATAGAGAGAGAGGAGAGAGAGAGAGAGAGAGAGAGAGAGAGAGAAAGAGAGAGAAAGAAAGAGTGAGAGAAGGCTATACGATGACACTCACCTAGAACTCGTCGCAACATAGACGATCGGAGATCGATAGAACGTGTCGTCCAGTTTAAACGTTACCTCTTGGAAGGAGACTACGGAAGAGAGCAATAAAGGGGGCGAGAGAAGCGACATGCATCGTGTCGCGAGTTAGAGAAGGAGAAAAAAGCAAAAGGTAAAAAAGAGGAAGTTGAAGAGAGAAACAGACCGGTCAAACAGCTGGTCGCCTCTCTCTCTCTCTCTCTCTCTCTCTCTCTCTCTCTCTCTCTCTCTCTCTCTCTCTCTCTCTCTCTTCTCCTCTCTCTTCCGCGGCGCCGTTAAAGAGCGGCCGATCGAGTAACAAACTCGTTAGAGAGCTGACCGCACGCGGTCGGGCAATAACGGTCGGCGTAAGTACATACGTGCGCTCCGTCTACGGTCGCGTTCGTCCGCAGCGGCCAACGGCAACGAGCGCAATTGCCATGTCGTTCTTCCGCATGCGAAAATGCGAAAAACGAGAACGCCGGAGAAAAAAGGAGGAGCCAGCACCGCTGCACCACGACGCGCGGCGTCCGAGTCCGCGCGCGTATTCGCACGGCGCGGAGCTTGCCGTTTCGAAATTCGCGACATTGATCCGCGTACGCGAGTGAGTCCGGGCGTTTGGACAATGGACGAATGGACTCGAATCGCGCACGATGTTACTGGAGCGGTGGCAGTGTTGGTAGCATGAGGAGGTCGCGGAACGGTGCAGCTTCTCTCTTTCTCTCTCTCTTTCTCCCTCCTTCTACCTCTTTCCATCTTTCTCTTTGCGCTGGTATGCGAAAACTTTTCGCACCGCTTTATCTGTGCCTCTTGCTTTGTGCGATCTTATCCGTGCCTCCGGTTCGGGTCTCTCTCGTCAACGGTGCAACGGAAGAGAACGTTTCTCGCTCTCTTACCCTGTCGCTACCTTTCCCATCCTCTCCCCCTTCTCTTTCTCTCTCTCTCACACACACACACACACACACACCTGCATGTATACCGATCCACACATACTTTCTTCCTTTTTCTCTTCGTCGCAGCAAGGATCGCAAATCCTTCGGAGGCGGACTGTGTATAAGCACCTATAGACGATATACGTGCAATCGACTTCAAAGTCCTGTCCCTTGCTTTCTTTCTATCGCTGTCGTCGCTCCTCCAGTTCCGAGAGGACGCACCCTCTTTTGTTCATACTCGTCATGCGTCAAATTGAGCGTCGTGTGACAGTAATGGAACGCGACTAATTGGTTACGCTCTTCCCTGTTTTCGATTCTCCGGTGCCGTGAAGCGCGTCGCAGCGGCAGATCCTCCGAAATTCGGCGGATTTAGCTTGCAGCGATGCTTCATCCGATTACTTATCTCTCCACCGGGCGCGGTTCAATCCGTGATGCACGTTAACCCTTGACTGGTAATGCGCTCTCGTCGTCCTTTCTGGCTCTCCTTTCTGTTATTCGCTTATTCGTCGAAAAGACAAACGAGAAACGATCCGCGCGTAAATGGGCGTAAATCTTATAAAATAATGAGCTATACAAAGGAGCCGCGGCCGTAAAGTATAACGGTACAACAATCCATACGGTCTCGATTGACAGAGGTATCAAACGTTAAACGTCGTGTTCTTTTGATTCTAATCACAGAGGCAGTGTGCTCGAGTCCCAAAATATGGTTTCACCAGCCGCAGGCGGCAAACATCCGTCGTGCTGCTGTCAACGATCGGTTGACGAACGGTAAACGGAGCTCTCGAGGGGTGGGATTCAAACACACGCGGTATAGTCCGCGATTCTACACTCTCCGTCCACACCCCTCAAACAAACGTACAACTCGATGAATTAGACGGTGAAACGAATGAAGTGGAAAAAAACAAAAAAAGAAAGTGAAAAGGAAATGAGGAAAAAAAAAAGGACACTTAAAGTAGTCTCGTGTCGGTTTTAACAATATCGTTTGTTTTTGCGCCGTCCATACGCGGTTCTCAAACTCTCCCTCCATCGTCTCCTTCTCCAGGCCCTTCTCCTGCTGACTAGTGTGCTATTTATCATGCGACGCCCGTGAGCTCCCTTCTCGTGGTCTCAGGCGTATCGTGACTATCTCAGAAGCAGATGGAGCGTGCCCAGGCAGAGTATTGTCGCAAAGGTCATCGTGTGGGTGCCGCTTCCGTTTTCTGAAGTTACTGCAACACACATGAAAAAGATCTCGTTATTCGGCCAGTCACTCGGCGATAATCGCGTGGCCGGATTCCGAATTTCCGGTGGTCTTAACAGGCGCGCCGCGCGCCGCGGTATTGGCCGTGCGCGCGTGCTGCGATTAACCGGTCGATCGGCGAGTGAATTTGTGTAATTAAATCAAGTTTATTAGTGAGTGAATGACCGCGCGCTCTCGACATCGCATCAGGATCGCTCGTTTGCGCGGCGTATCGGTCAATAATGTACTGCCCCGGAGCTTTCGCGCCCCGCGGTGCGCGCAGCAGTTTTTGCGACATTCCGAGACTCTATCGGGCACCGTTGCCGAGTATCAGAAGAAATAACGAATCCTCTCGCGCGAGATAATACGGTGTCATGTCGCAGAGGAAATTGGAAAATGTTGCCGGGTGTAATACGTGAAATTATCGCCTTTAACGCCCGACTTAGCTCCGCCAGCTGCGCTCTCCCGTAACAGCTTAATATTAAAAGGACGTATGCGAAAGTATTACGGCTCTTATTATTCATCGTGCTGTAAAATAAAAAGAAGGTCCAATAAGAGAGGGAAAGCTCTTCCAAGTTGAGCATTTCGCCGCGCGCTCTGCGCACGCTGCATTCGAATTTCTAGTATCTTGGCAGTGCAGAATTTGTATGCGCTGCGCGGTCTCTCCATTTGCACAGAACGATGGGCGCGGCGCGTATATCGATCGGTCGTACCGGTTGAAATTTTATCTCTTAACGGATTCTTTGCGTTAAACGGTCTAAACGCGAATTTCGCGCGCGAAGACCGTGCGCGCGTTCGTCGCGCAACGCAAGGAAACGAAAAACTAAGGATAAATGATTCGCATTAACGCCGCGATCGGGGATGGCTCGCTGATTACCAGCGGTAAACACATTCCACGTGTGCATTTCGTCTCATTAAAAGGTCGTCATTATGCGGCGCGACGTTCCGAGTCGACACGCCTCTAATCAATAACGGCGTCGATAATAACGACGCAACATACTCCCGCCGCCGCGCCGGTCGGTCGAAATGTGGCGCGGCAAATCTGATGAATAGATATGAAATTCACCGAGAAGCGCGACGGCGATAATCAGTTGATTTTGCAGGTCTGTTTGCATACGGCGCGCGCGCGCGCGCGCGCGTGCGCGTTATCGGCGCATGAATATAACGCGTATGAAAGCTAAGTGCACAGGGTATCGGGCACGACTCCGATGTTTTGACAGATGTGTCACGCAGCGAGCGTTATTATAATCGCCGAGTGTATGTGTATGTGTGTCCATATGGCGTCAACGGCAGAATCAATATGCCGATGCATCCTGGACGATGGTCTTCGGCGTCGCGATCCTGGCGCGTTGCATTTTTCGACAAAGATATCTCGCCGGGCGTGCGCCTCTGTATAATATCATCTGGGCCGGAATAAACGCGGCGATATCGTCACATCGAGTCACTATCTGTAAAAGCGAGGTGGGCTCGATCTGGGAAAGAGCTCCGATAAAAAGATTTCCACGGATATTTTTGCCCAACGTTTCATTTTCCCGCGAGACATATCACCTTTATCCAATTACTTCCCGCGATTGGCCCCCTCAATTGTTACGACTTCCGAGTTCCTTTGCTCAGCTCGCGAGAAAGCGAGAGAGAGAGAGAGAGAGAGAGAGAGAGAGAAGAGAGAAAAAAAAAAAAAAAAAAAAAAAAAAAAAAAAAAAAAAAAGAAGAGAGAGAGAGAGAGAGAGAGAGAGAGAGAGAGAGAGAGAGAGAGAGAGCCAAATATATAAGGACTATATATTTTATGGGTCGGGAGACGATAGATTATCGGGGAGCGATGTCGCGTAAAACGACATTTTTCTCCGGGCCCGCGTAAGATTAAACCTCGCCTGGCAGGACGAGGCGTGTCAACTGTTGAAAATCCCTTTCGGAATGGAAACTCCGGGCGGCGCGCGAGGGGGCCGCGCGCCATTAAATGGAACGTCAGTGGATTTTCCTCCGCGGGGCATTGTTCCTTCTGTCGGATGGAAAAGTCAATTTCCTAAAAACAATTCTGTCGACCACGGCCCAGGGAGTAATACGTACGAATCAAGCAACCAGCCAGCCCCGCTCGCGGAAAGCCCGGTGTGAACGAAATGAAATTACTACGGGCGCAGAAGCGAACGAATTCCTGTAACAGCGCGCGGCAGCGCGCCTGTGTGCACGTAGGCAGCAGGAGCTAGAGGGGTAGGGGAAGTACAGGGGGGGGTAGCGGAGTCGGGAGGGAAGGAGTGGCTCGACGGTAAAGGGACTAAAGTGGAATAAGCTCCGACAGGTTCGAAAATTGAGGAGGGCCGAAATCCTTTGGTCGCTTATCAATCGTCGGGGTTTACGATGTACGCTCCCCTCTAGTCCGCCGCTCCTATCAAATTTATCCGAAAATGTACGAGAGTTTTGCGAACGATTGCGAAATCGCGAGCACCCGGATTCCCCCGATAGCGCTTGCCGATGGTAATCGTTGATATTACTTTCGGAATATTTCGCCTGTACGTAAAACACGACGTATAATCTCATGATCTGTATCGGTCGCCGTGTTGCTCCGTGTGCGCACCGTGTCTTTTTAATAAAAATTTTAATATATATTTTAAACAAAACGCCGAGATATAAAATGGTATATCGGAAACATTCAACCGCGGATTGTGCTGACTATTTTTCGCATGTTGATGGTTGCTCGATAAAATCTCCGGATTTTAATCATCTTCTGATTGTAATATTAACGATATACTAAAACGATAGCAACGAATTCTTAATACCATAGTTGGTATCCATCATGGCATGAAACTAATCAGGAAACTCACTTTTTGTTACAGATCCGGAGCTTGCGGCCATGCAAGCGGAGGTTGTGGTTCCCGGGGGTACAATTTAAGCGGACATGCGGATGCCGCAGCGGAGGATCCGATTCGGGCCTAGCAACGTCGGCTCGAAGGTAGGTTTACAGACTTTCTGTCCTCTAGTATTTAACTCTTCGCGGCCGAAAACTAGGACATAGTTGTCCGGACCAAAAAGGTTCATCGAATTTCAATGAACCTAAAGACCTAAATACGTCCGTATCTATCGAATTTTCTTACAAAGTCGTCGACCCTCGTACCCCTCTAATTGTTTCGGTGAGCCGGAAAAATGAATAGAAAAAGTAATTTGAAGATTTAAGCTTGCGGCTGTTTGCAGAAATAGGACTCTTAAAGTCAAACAATGCGATTTACTGCTAGACCTTGCATGCAAATTTTGCATGTACGTTTTTATTCCTATTAATAAAAATCTCTTGATATTTATAACGTTTTATGTGAAACAAGAAATTATTCGAGGTGATTGTTCAATTAATACGATTTTCTAATTGTTCGGATTATAGTATTAAATGTGTATCGACACACTGTTATGAAATTAATCAGGAAACTTACTTTTTGTTGTCATATTCGTACACGGTATTCGTAATTACTTATTTCGCGCGTTCTAATTTTGCGATTGTCGTGGACATTAATTTTTCAAATTATTCAAACGTGAAGGATTATAGTGGCATTCAAATCGAAACTATCGGTAAATTCGATATACATGTATATACTGGTTACTTTCTCTTAAATATTAAACTTCTTATGAAGCTGAAATCTCGTCTCTCGACAAAATCCGCCCTCGCGAAATCGAATTTTCCTCCTCTCATTCGATCGTTTTCATCGAAAGTACCGTGACCTGCGATTGACAATTTTTCACACGCAATTCGCGAGTGCGCATTCGCATTTATCGCATTTACCTTTTAATCGTTTAAACGTTTTGGACCGCTTAAAATCGTTTTCGAGCGTTAACTCGTCAAATTGTTAAGTGCCGTTCAAATGATCGCGCTTGTGAGCGCAGTGCAGTGAAGTGAGTGAAGAGCAATCGACGTGGGACGACGGCTGGAGGCTACGGAGGCCGGACACCGAGGACGTTGGACGAATTGCGGAACGACGCAGTCGGGACACACAGCGGTCGGTTTCATCGGCAGGCCTGGACGGCTGGACGTCGTTGGATGTCAACATGAAATGGTGAGCGTACAATCTGAACGCTCACAGAGCGTCAAATTACGCAGTGCATATTCGGACATAAATCGCATTGATTTCCGACGAGAAAAGGTCATCAGCTTGTGAATTTTGACAAATCGAGTTCGCTTGAAAGACAGAATTTCGAGGATTAACCTTACACATTGGCATTTCATTGACGTTCGCGTGGGAACGTATACGTGTCTATTTAAGTCGACATTCAGGACAAAAGCGCACGATATGTGTCTGAGACGTGATCGACGTTTTTGGCTTGTGAACAGTGAGCAACCCCTCGCAGATGTGATTCTAACACAAAAACGACACACGCGTTTGTAAGTTCTGCTCACATTAAAAATAAAGAATTTTTTGCGCCTTGATACGAATTAAAAGTCAAGTCAGTTGACGCGCTTTTCGCGTGTTTTAATATCTCGCGAATACAAAACATTGGGTAGAGGCTACTTGAACGTATAATAATAAAGTCATGCGAAATTTTTAATATTTGAGTCCTCCCCACTCCTTTGAAAATGTAGCACGTTGCGACGGACGCAACTTTCGAGACGAAGTTCGTAAACGCGCAATCAGATTTTTCTCATGGCGCGTATAAACGCGATGTGCGTAAGAACGGCTTATGAGGCTCCGTTCATGGATTTTCATGGATGGATGGTAAGAGTCTTTGAGAGGGATTGAAGCGTCCGCACGGCCTGTGAAAAGTACGGAGGCGAGATCTAGGCTGCGGCGAAAATCCGAAGGATTCTTGATGTAAAAACTCTTCAGCCAACTTCATGAACCAGTGCTCGTGAGTTGGCGACATGAGTGCTCAGAAAGTTTCGGGGAAACGATTTACTTAGAGTACAACCAAAGTGCGTTACCGTTGGGCATGTGGTTTGTCGCTCCCTCGCGTCGCTCGCGTGCATGCAGATTTCGTGACGCAACGTCGCAGCGAGATAGTTGCTCAAAGTTACTG